ACACCCCTTCAAATTTTTCCATTGTTGCAGTAAGAAAACCAAGCACAGGAAGGCAACAAAATGCTGACAGATGTACATGCTTGCTTGGTACTGCAAAAGCATCATTCACAATCCTCCCTCTCCTCTCGTTTGCCAATATAAATCCAAAGTGACTTCACAAGAAGTCAGTAAAATTACGCCAGATTAAAACAGGTTCATCTGGGGCCAGAACTAGATAATAGGTAGCAGGAAAACCCAGTGACTTTAACAGGGACAGCATGCTAGCTACTACTGAATATTTTGGGATTTCTCATGATCTGCCTCAGACCTAAGGGTTCTAGTTAGCTGTGCAACCTCTGCTAGCTCCCAGAATAAAAGAACACAAAACTGGGACGTAACTACTTTATCTTAAGCATGTTCATGCAAGAAAACTACAGCAGCTCCTTTTCACAGCCCTAATGAAATATTTTGTGTCCATATCTATGTTCTAACACAGCAATTCTGTTTATTTTACAGGCTTATAATAAAAAAATGACATTTTATGAGCTACATGATAGTATTTCAACAATACCTTGTTGTGACATGACACAGTGTAATTACTTAGCAGGAGATAGTACAATTTATTGTTATGTCACTGAGTCATATCCTTCAGGACTTCAGGCTGGTGTCTTAGTTTGCTTTTTAAAGCCATACAGACTAGCAAGCAAAGTCAAGGGATGCATAAAAACCTCCTAGAAGTAAAGATATAGAACAAACATGTGCCTGCACACATCAGCATATTTGAAAACACTTCCCCAATCCTTTCTGCTTTCCTCTTTGTTTTGCTTTTACAGCATTACTGGCTGGGTTAATAGTAATCAAAGATAACTGAAATTCCAACCCAAATATGCAAAAGCCAGTTATGTTACATTAGGGTCCTATTCAGGTAGTTAAACACACAGACTGATCCCACGGAGCTGGAGTTGCTCAGCGCCTACCACTGACTTCACCCACGAGAGGGGCAGTATGCAGAGAGTCCCTCTCCATCCACAAGAAGCACCGCTGGCTCTTCATCTGCCCGCGCAGCTTGCACCGCAGGGCAGGGCCTTGCCAAGCACGGCACTTGTCTATTCCTTGGCACCATTTTTGGTACCCCACACTAATCAGGAGAGGAAATGATTTTGTACGACACACTGTAACTGTAAGCACAGTACGGTGCATTAGTGGCAGCACCTTTCCCTAAGCAATGGAGTTGAGACACTAGGCCAGGATATATTTTTTTTAAAACGCCTGCTCTGAGTGAAGTCCCTCGGACCGTCTTCGGGTACAGAGACAAGCGGCTCCCGTTTCACGGGCCGTACGTGCAGTGCATCCCGCTGAAAACTCCGTCTCAATCAGTAAGCACCGAGCCGGGAGCAGCCCAGGCTCCCGGCCGCCA